TATTAAGTAATTAATATTTAATTTAATATATTATTGTTTTAAAAATTAAAATTAATTATATATTTATTAAATAATTAAATTTCTAAAAAAACATATACTTTGGGTTAAAAGCAGACAAAGGGTGGAAGAAGTTATAAGGGTTTGTTATAAATAAATAAATAAATAAATAAATATTAGAGTTGGACTGTACATCTGGGTTATAGGGTTGGGCTTGTTAATAGGTCAAATATTAGGGTTAAGAAATGAAAAATTATGATAAAAGAAAGAGTTTTCTTGTCTTCTTCAACCATCTTCTTTCTTTTTTACTATTACAATTTTTTTATCTTCTTCTTTCTTCTTTAATCTGTTCTACTTCCTATTTATATCTTTTAAAAAAATTTGAAAAACACAAAGGTGTTGTGCCCAAAGCCCAAAGGCGTGTACCTGTTGTATCTCGCCTCATCTCATCCCAGACGGACGCCATCTTCAGTGCCTGGTTACGCCTCACGCCTAGGCGCGCCTTTTAAAAACAAGTTATAGACTTATCTCATGGGGATTTGTGTATAGTTGCAATGATCATGCCTTGAAGATTGTTGGCGTTGAAACCATCAAATTGAAGATGTATGACAGAACCATTAAAGTTGTTTGAGATGTGCAACACATGAAAGGCTTGAAGAAAAATTTATTATCCTATAGATTGTTGGATAATAATGCATGCAAGATTGAAACACAGAAAGGAATCATGAAGTTGTTCCATGGAACACTTGTGGTGATGATAGGCGAAAAGATAGCAACAAACATATACATGTTGAAGGGAGAGACTTTGCTAGAAGCAGAAGCCTCTGTTACCTGATGTAGTTCAGATTCTGCAATGCTATGGCATCAAAAACTTGGACACATGTCAGAACAAGGAATGAAAATCCTTATGGAGCAAAAGCTACTTTCATGCTTAACAAATGTATCACTTCATTTCTGTGAGCATTGTATAACAAGCAAACAACATCGATCAAAATTCAGCCAAATTAAATTCTAGAGCAAGATTATTTTAGAATTGGTTCATTCTGACGTATTGCAAGCACCAATTACATCTTTAAGTAGAGAAAAATTATGTCTCATTTATTGATAACTATTCCAAGAGATGATTGGTGTATCCTATTAAGAAGAAATCAAATATTTTATCAACTTTCGAAGCCTTCAAAGCGCAGGTGGAAGTTGATTCAAGAAATAAAATCAAGTGTTTTAGAATAGATAATGGAGAAGAATACACAAGTGAATAATTTGATGAATTTTGTAGGAAATATGGCTTCAAAAGGCAGTTCACAGTAACAAACAGTCCTCAACAAGATGGAGTAGCAGAGCGGATGAACAAAACCTTGTTGGAAAGAACAAGAGCAATGTTAAGGGCTATAGGCCTAGAAAAATTATTTTGGGTAGAAACAATCAATATTGCCTGTTGTTTGGTGAATCGGGCTCCGTCAACTGCTATAGAGCTGAAGACACCAATGAAGATGTTGACTGGTAAACCAGTTGATTATTTGGATGTATTGTGTACGTGATGTACAATGCCCAAGAAATTTCAAAGTTTAATCCAAAATCCAAAGAATGTAAATACTTGGGTTATGTTGATGGAGTAAAGGGATATCACTTGTGAGACCAACTGTCTGCAAAATGATTATTAGCAGAGATGTTATCTTTGTAGAAGATAACTACCAAAAAAGATGATGATAACACTGAAAAGCAAGAGATTGCACATATACACGTGGAGAAAGAGTTTGAATAATGAGATTCTTATAAAACAAAACCAACATATGATGAACAAGAACTAGAGAGTTATGAAATCCAACAACTCATCAATCAAATTGTATAAAAAGAAGTCCCAATTGGCACTTAGATTATGTTATAGAGGGTAATATTGCGTACTACCTTTTAACAGAAGATGGTGAGCCATCAACATTTCAAAAGACAATAAACAACCTAAACGTTTCACAGTGGATGATGAAGATGCAAGAAGAAATTGAATCCATTTTATAAAAATAATACATGGGACTTTGTGTCACTACCACAAGGAAGAAAACCAATTGGTAACAAATGAGTCTTCAAAATCAAACAAAATAGTGACGACCAAGTAGAGAGGTATCGTGCAAGACTGGTGGTTAAAAGATATGCTCAAAAAGAAGGTATTGATTTCAATAAAATCTTTTCTCATTTTGTTCGACTAACAACAGTTCGAGTAGTCTTGACAATGTGTGCTACATTGAACTTACATCTAAAACAACTATATGTTAAAACAATTTTTCTTCATGGAGATCTTGAAGAATAGATTTACATGCTCCAACCTGAAGGTTTTGAAAAAAAAAGAACTTAGTTTGCAAGTTGAAAAAATTTCTATACGGTCTAAAACAGACGTCGAGGTGTTGGTATAAGAGATTTGATTCCTTCATTATGTACATTGGATACAACAAACTTAATGCAGACATTTGTGCTTATTTCAATAGGTTTGGTGATAACGATTTTGTTATATTGTTGTTGTATGTGGATGACATGTTGGTTACAGGGCCCAACAAAGATCACATTGAATATTTGAAGGCACAACAGGCTAGGGAATTTGAAATGAAGGACTAGGGATCAGCAAACAAGATTCCAGGGATGTAAATTCATCGATATAGAAATAATAGGAAGATTTGACTTTCACAAAAGAATTACTTGAAGAAGATATTGTCTCGATTCAATATGCAAGATTGTAAGTCAATTTTACCCTTCTTCCTATTAATTTCAAATTATCCTCTAGTACAAGTCCTAATAGTGAAAAATAGAGGATGGAGATGTCTCGAGTACCGTATGCATCAACAGTAGGAAGTTTAATGTTCGCTATGATATGCACAAGACCAGACATTGCACAAGTAATGAGAGTGATTAGTTGGTACATGGAGAATCCAGACAAAGTGTTGGAACGCAATAAAGAGGATCCTGAGATACATCAAAGGGACTTCAAATGTTGCATTATGTTATAAAGGATCAACTTTTCTTATCAATGTGTATGTTGATTCTGATTATGTAGGGGATTTAGATAAAAACAAATTTATTACATATCATACATGATATGTGTTTAAAGTTTCTGGTGGAGCTGTAAGCTGGGTTTCAAAACTGCAGCTAGTTGTGGCTACGTAAACAACAGAGGCAGAATATATAGTAGCTACACAAGTCAATAAAGAAGCAATTTGGTTGAAAATGCTATTGGAGGAGCTCGAGCAAAATCAAGAGTATGTCTCTTTGTTTTGTGACAGTCTGAGCGCCTTGCAGGAATCCAACATTTCATTCAACGACAAAACACATACGAGTTTATTATCATTTCATTCGTGAAAAGGTGGCCGAAAGGCTGATAGATATGTAGAAAATTCATCCTAAAGATAACATAACAGATTTAACGAAAAAGGCGATCAATGTTGATAAATTTATTTAGTGTCGATCCTCTAGTGACTTGTTAGAGACGTAAGCAACATGAATGGTACAAGGTAGAAAGAACAAATCTTCAAGTGAAAAATTGTTAAAGGTAAAAAATGGCAATTTCGGTGCATTAATGCACCGAATTGCTATGGAATTTTTTTCTCTAAAAATTACTACTTATTTGGTTGAAAAATGGGCAAGAGAAAATTATTCATTTATTCCCTAAACTTTAAGCTATTTACAAGATTAGTCTCTAAGCTTCAACTAAAAATAGCTTAGCCCTTTGCCATTCAAAACCATCCCAAATCATTCCAACTTTCTTCCATTACTAAAGAAATTAGAGAATTTTCGTAAGAGTTATTTTCTTCTTTTTATCAAGAGGGAATTGTCATTGTTTTCTCCTTGTTAGATCGAGAGAAGTTCTAATTCTTATTTTCTCATAGTGAAATTCTTCTACATTTGTTTGTGGTTTTCACCATATATTATTTAGGGGTTTTCTACGTAAAATTTGTACCTCTTTTATCTTCATTGTTATTTTCTCAAATTATTAATTACGATTTTGCTTTATCTGACAATCGTAATCCGCAACAATAACTTGTAAGCATTTTGCTTTATGATGTATCATGCATCTATGGAATCTATGGACTGTCCAAGATTTAGGCGTGTTGGAAGATTGAGCACTTAAAATCTAAATATCATTAACCATCAAATGTCTTCCTTAAAACGGTTAACAAGCTAATGTGGAGAAAAGGAAATTGTATTGAGTAGCACACTTGGGTAGTGATTGGGAAAACAAGTCCAAACCGAAGTGTAAGATTGATTTCTAACTGAAGTACTTGTGAGTGGTGAAGCTCTCAATAATAAAAAGTTTATCATTGTCGATATTCATATTCACCTACGAAATCATAGAGAAAAGTTATTGTTAGAAAGAGTCAAAAAACCAACAAATGAAAGGGGGAGGCATTATTATTCAAATGTCACAAAAGGCCACTACATGCACATGAATGAGAATTGAAGGTTGGAACAAAAATGTCTGAACAAGAGTTCTAGAAATTTATTAACTTTACTTTTCCTTCCTTTACCATGTCCTCTACCAAAAAAGGGAAAAACTCGAGTTTCCTTCCTTTTCTTCCCTCATCCACTGCTCATTTTTCTCTGTCGTTTGCATTCTTTCCGTTGCATTCTTTCCTCCAACAGGGGTCAAATTTAAAATACTTGGTTGTTTAAGATGCTTTCAGTCTATACATCAATTTTTTTTCCATACCTGAACTCTATTCAACATTTCAACTTTATTAGCATGAAAGAAGAATCAAGCTAGCACTATAATTTGAGCCAAAATAAGTGGAAATTGAAAAACAAAATTATGCTGAAAATGAGTATTAGGCCACTTAAATTTAACCTAGTTGCTATGTGAATCCAATAACAAAACAAGTTGAGCCTATATAACTAAGGCCAGTTACTCAAAACTGACATTGTTCTTTGACATGTACTTCAATATTTACATCACTAGTTCACAGTACCATACATCACATCCAAGAATGTCTTGATTATTTAATAATTGAATTGTACTTGAATAGTTTTGGCAAACGGAGGCGGCAAGCTTGAGACAACAACTACAATACTTGCAAGAACATCACAGGTACTGAAAACATCCACTGTTTCATTGCTAATACACCAGAGAAATATTTGAACTTATAAATTCAATGCACTTAGCTAGTTTTTTACATGGTATAATACTTTTTATCTTCATAAATTTGCTAAGAAATACATAATTAATGCTTACCTTACTTAGAACTAAGTTTTTGGTAGTAGCAAATTACTATGTTTTTCTTAGAATTAAGTTTCAACGAACAATTCTGCTTACCTTGCTTAAAGATAAGTATAGGTTAAATAAGGATAAATCTAGGGTTTATTTTCAATGGGGACACATTATAACAAATGCTAAAAGCAAACTCTCCTTTACAACCAATATTGTTATTTTTCCTACATAAAATACGTGTTGGAAGCTTAATAAGTATAGTTATATATAATCAAAAAATTATCCCCTTCAAAAATTGACAATATATATTTTTTTGATTTTAAAATATGTTGGTTATTTCTCTACATATACCAAATAAATTTATTGTATACAAATTTTAACTACTAAACAAAAAAAAAAAACACTACCATAATCACAAACTATCAAAATCCAAACAAGGCAAATTTTCACTTGAAAGAAGAAAAAGATGTTCCAATCGAAATCTTCTTCAGAAGTTGCTTGTCTTTCTTCTTTTCTCTACTGATTATTTATTCTTCTACTTCTGTTATGTTATACAAATTTTTTTGAATCGAACAAGGGAGGTGCACTACAACTTTTTGAGCTTAGTTTTTAATATCTTTAAAGAATCCCATATCAATAACAAAAAAATTAATCAAAAAATCTTTTCTGTTTTACACATTATAACCTATTATCTTCTAAACTCACCTATTTAAGAAGTTTCTATAATATGACTAATGGGGCATTAGGATCCTAGTAGGACCAACTTCTAAATATGAAGTCTTCTCTACAATTTAGAATCAATAATATCACACAAAGTATAACTTAATTACCATTTGAGTGTGATGTGTTGCAGGAAATTGATGAGAGAAGAACTATCTGCTTTGGCTGTCAAAGATCTACAGAACCTGGAAAACCAACTTGAAATGAGTTTGAAAGCTATCCGCACAAAAAAGGCATGACAACTATAGATTTTTCCATCTCATTTGACATGTATTTACTGCAACTGTTGTTATGTTATTTTTCCTTCTAGGGCCAACTACTTACAGACGAGATCAAACAGCTAAACCACAAGGTTTCTTCCAAAGTTTTTTTTCCTTATAGATTTATATCAATATATATCTTTTGGTTGAGTAACTTCAATTTAATAAATTGCAGGGACACCTCATTCAGCAGGAGAATCTAGAACAGCATAACAAAGTAAACCTCATTCATCAGGAGAATCTAGAACTGCATAACAAATTTAACCTCATGCAGCAAGAAAATACTGAACTTCGGAAGAAGGTACTTAACCAAGTAATTGGATATCCCTCATTCACTTTATACTTCCTCCTTTTACATTGATTTTTTTTTTTTGAAGTTTTTAAAACTAGTACCACCAAGTCTTACCAGTAAAATAGTAATCAAAAAATAATCTTGAAATTTAAGCAAGTGAAAAGTTTCCCCCCAATACTCTTAACTAGAAGAATGTTGGGTCTCAGGTTTACGGAACAAGGGATGCAAATGAAGCTGGCAGAAGCTCCAGCCCAAAGCATACTTTGAACAATAAAAATGATTTGTACACATCTGTTATTCTGCAATTAAGTCAGCCCCAGCCTCCCATGAATGATGAAGCTGAAAAATCAATGGACTTGGGGTAGTTCTTCTACTCAATACTATTTTAAAATCTATAGCAAACAAAACCAAGAAAGCAAACTATTTCAAGCTTAATCTAAAATATTTTTCTGGAAAAAAAACAGATTACAACTGCATTAGCAAACGTGTCGGACAACCATGGGTGTGCATCATCAGTACCTATCAACAACTTGTCCATGGTTAAGAAAAAGTTTCTACCAGTGAGCTTCCGTATTCCAGCATATGAAAATGTTTTCATTTGAAATGTTTAATGGAGAGGAAGTGAGGCAGAGAGCACTTTAGAATTGTTGTAAAATGAACAGATAAACAAGTTATGTGATATCAGCACAAAATAATTAGAATGCACTATTTGTGTATGATGTAACTCAGCTGCCTGGTGAACTTATTGTGCTCAACGGAACTTACTGCTGCAAAATGCAGTAGCACTACTTTTGTGTTATGGAATAAAGCAACTATGAGATTCGTCTTGCCTTTTCGATTGCAGTGGGAAATAAAATGAACAGATAGATTAGCATGCATGTTTAATAGGAGCAATCTTATTATATACCCTTTGTATCTTGTGTCATTCAGAGAATGTAGCCCAAACTCAACAATATCTAAAGGCAAGTAGCACTCTGAATACATAAATAAGCAAAACTTTTAACTAAAACAAACATGCAAGTTCCAATGACAGCCAGAGATTTTAAACTCGTCACTTTTGAAGCATAAGGGTATTAAAAATTCTTCTGTGACAAAAGGAAATAAGAAGACAATGGGCACAAGTAAAAGATCATATAGAACACCAAGGTACATGATTGAGGCTTGGAAGCATTCAAGTTATACAGTACATGTCTTAGCTAACAGAGTTGTCCAATGACATTTTAAGGACCTAAAGTAACTAATTATGGAAAGTGTTCTTCTACTGCTCCTATTAACAAGAACTAATTTTCTCTACTAAACCACAGAAAACATGTATTACTTTATTTTTTGATAGAAATAGGGTAGGCCTCATTAAAAACCCCCTTATTAACCTCCATGTTACTACAATAACATGAAGGACATAGGAAGGAAGAAAAGAGTGCCTAGTAATTTATTAATAACATGTATTACTTTATGATCTTAGGTCACACAACACATCAAAAAGACAATGATTAGAGAAAAGAAATAACCTTGGTTGCATGCACAGAAATCCTTATTCTGTTATTGGAAATGTTTTATTAATAAACTACCAGTGAAACATTCAACCAACATAAGCTTGAGCTATTTGGCAAATATCAAAGACTGCAACCAGCTGGTTTATACTTTGACTAGCAAGGTAAAACATTATTAAAATTTTAGCAAAAGCTAGTATGCGCTCGCCTTCAGTTAGAAGATCAATAGTTCCATAAAAACTGCAAGGTCAATATGTGTTTCAATGTCATAAATAAACCATTGAACCCAAAAATTTAGACAGATATGCCAACAACAAAAATCAGCTTTGATGCTCCATAAGACCTCATTCTCCTCTACAAAGGCCCAATTAACCAGTTACATCAAGTTTCACATAGCAGCCATCAAAACCTATTTAAAATAAAAATGAACAAAACTAAAAGTACAAAACAACTAAAGTAGTTCATGGTGATATGGGAGTATAAAAATTAAACTCAAGAACGATGTAGAAATTTGGCAACTACTGTCCAGTAAATGTACAGTGGCTTAACATATTTATATTTCAACAACAAATAACTAACGCTACAGCCAAAGATTTGGATTTCAAGTTTCAACTGTGAAGCAGGGTACGGCAACCCAATTCCGTTTCAAGTATCCAATACATCCCTGTGACGGGGACGAGTTAGATACGTGTTGGGGACGTCCCATGTCGAAGGGGTACGTCAGGAATTAGTTGGGTACATTGGAGAGGTTTCAGGGACATATCGGAAACAACATTTGATCTTCACACATCGTATCTATGATTGTTTTTTAGATTTAGCTTAAAATAGACTAACCTGAAATGAAAACTAAGTTGTTCCTGTCCAGAGATAACTAAATCTCTATTTTCTGAGTGACGTGCGACGATTGGAGAGGGCAAGAAAAACTGCAAGTGACTGCAATTCTGATATTACTTGTTGGGTAGAGTAGCATAGTAAGTTGTTTTTCTCTTCTGTAAAATGTATTATGGACCAAGTTGAGCACAAATTTTTTAATTCTCAAGAGACGGACACTAATTGCAAGTACTAGCAGGACTTTGAATGAATATATAATGATAAATCTGCTTAAACGTTTTGAATGAGAAGCTTAGACTGATAGGGTGAGATTAAAGTTTGATCTTATGTAACCTTCTTTGATGAAAGACTATTTGGATTATTTTTTGGTGGTATTGATTAAAGGTTTATAAGTGGCATGGGTAAGATAGTTTAAGAACTGCACACTTACTGTACTTGTACCATGTAATTTTGAAAATTGTAATTTCTCGTCTAGTCCCGTCCTGTCCCTGTATTGTATCAATGCAACATAAAGTCTCAGTGCCTTTGAACAACTTGGACTAAGACAAACAAATAACAAGAAGGATACTGCTACATGTTTTCACCTTTCTAGTTAAAAACTTCCATATTCTCAAAATTCAAGTGGTAAGCGTGCATGTTTAACTTGCATGAAAAAAATGGTCATATTGACTTACAAGTGATCGCAGATCAGGATCCTAAAGGCAATAAACACCAAGTTTACATAATCTTTTTGATGCCCTAATTTTGTTGAAGCTGCTTCTTGACATGGGTCAAATTTCATGACAAAGACACGGCATGGCTTTTGATAAAACCAATCAACAAACACTTTATCGGTCAATGATCTATTCATTTACACCCGGGAATCGAATGGAGTTTTCCTCCCGGGTGTAAATGAATAGATCATTGACCGATAAAGTGTTTGTTGATTGGTTTTATCAAAAGCCATGCCGTGTCTTTGTCATGAAATTTTACCCAAAAAAAGCTAAAAGAGTTTGAATATATTCTTGTCAAGTGATAACCGATAAGGAATAGAAAAACAAGGGTACATATCGGAGCAACAATTCCTGGGGTTCAGTTTTACTAACAATTAGGTTATTTTTGAAACATTGACATAGAGCATATGAAAAAAAAAGCCAAAGTGAGAAAAGGAAAGGTAAAAAATGAAGAAAAAAGGCTTAGCCATTACCATGCAGTCATGCACCGATCGCCATGAAAGTGATAAAGGAAAAGAGCACTGGTAGCACTGGTATGGATGAAATTGTACAGAGAAGAAATCAAAGTGAGAACAAGGGAAAAGGGTGAAAAGGGATTGGATCAAGGTATGCGACGGAGATAGATCTGTTATGTTTCTGGGAAGAAACAAATACTGGATGGCACCGTCCTCAGTCCTCACCTGTGTTGTATTATCAAAATCGTCATTACTAAGATAGAGAAAACAAATTGGTAAATTACATATTAAATCTTTCAGATATTTCTGCTATTTTTTTTTGTCACTTAATTATTTTTTATAATCAATTTTAAAGTTATGTTTTATTTTATTTTAGTTTTCTGTCGTTAAAAAATAATGGTTATGTTGACACATCACCATAAGGTATATATCATCATTAAAAAAAAAAAAAAATATTACGTCAGAAGTTCTTTTTTAACGACATATGACTAAAATAAAACCAGAACATATCAATAAGTATAATTTTAAAAAAATAATTAGATAAATAAAACGAAATCAAAAAATAATTGGATTGTAAATAGTAGTTTACCCAAAATAATAGCCCCAACTTACACATACGACATGAATCTGTTTTCATATATATATTACAAATTTTGATGATAAAAAAATTATTGTTATTGTTTAATATTCGGGTTCGAGTACTAGAAATGTCAGGAGTCTGAACACTTAATATTAAATGGGGTAGAGAATCATCGGTGAACATATATTGTATTCTACTTATTCTAAACTAATAAAAAAAGACATCAAAAGATAATAACATACACCTTAACCAATTGAGGTCGCTTGATTCATGCCATGATTCTCTCTTTAAACAATCAAAGAAACAATTTTCAATTTTTTAGAAGCATAATTAGGGATGGGCATGGGTTGGTTGGGTCGGGTTGGATTTTCGACCCACCCGACCTGACCCGAAAAATTAATTTCTCCACCCAAATTCAACCCGACCCAGAAGGAAAAGAAATTTCACTCGACCCGAACCCGACCTGATTCATAGACGAGAAACTCGATCCAACCCGACCAGACTCAAATTTTAGTTAGTGATAACTAAAGATGAATTAAAATTATAAAAGAGTGGAATTTCTATAAAAAAAAAAAGTTAGAAATACTTAGAGACCAGTTCGTCAAAGAGTAGTTCGGAGCTTTGGAGAAGGTAAAGTGAAATGGGAGGGAAAATCCGAAAATGTGAGTGAGCAGGGAGCCAGGGACTAGGTACAATGCATGTCTGCACATAATAGGGTAGGGTAGGGTAGGGTTACTTTAGTGATATTGTGTCAGATAGCTAACATGAAAAAACGTATATTAAATTTAAAAGTACCCGGGTCGAGTCAGGTAGGGTTATTTTGACCCTAAACTCGACCTGGACCAGAACCCAAACATATTATATATAAAATCTGATTTGATTCAATTCGAACTCGAATTTAAAAAAACTCGACCCTATTAGTTTGGATCGAGTCAAAACCCTTTAAATCCGCGTCCAATGTCTATCCCTAAACATACTATCAAAATTATCCCTAATGTTTATCAAAATAATCATTTTTACCCTTATTTTTTTTAGAGCATTTTATTCCCAATAGCTATTTCTAAGTTAAAAAGTCCCTCAGTGGATGAAAATCATTAATTAACAATTGGTTAACGCTTTAAAATATAATCTTTTTTATCTTAAAATAAAATATTAAAGGCTAAAATGCTCAAAAAATCTAAAATGACCATTCTAGTAATGATTGGGATTAATTTTAGCATTATACATTTCTTAGATTACCTACAAACAAAATTAGGCTAATATCGTGCAGTCTGTCCCATAAAAAATATCTTTTATTGATCAAAATTTTAAACTTTGACCATGATTATTTTAAATATTTTACAATGATTAAATTTTGTAAAATATATATTTGAAAACTATTTGATTGAAGATTTTTAAAATATATTTTTATATAATTTTATCAATAATAATTTTTTTTAAAAATAAATAGTCAAATTTATAAAAAAATTGACAAAAAAAATCAATAATAGACATATTTTATGGGATAGAGGGAGTATAATTTATAAAAGAAATCTCAAATCAAGAGTTTACACGTGTCAAATGTGACAAATGTAACATCTGTCATTATCATATGTTAACACATATCACCTCTTGATTGGATGATTAATTTATAAATAAATTAAAATTAAGACCAAATTGATTGAATGTACAAATATTGAGGAT